TTTGCGATGTAGCGATATAACCACTATGTGGCTTTGAGGCAAAGTGTGCATCTACGTAGCCGCACACTGTTTGACGCTATGGCAGATAACGATGATGAATTATGACTGAGTCTTTTTGTAATGAGTGGGCAGTTTTAAACCGCCCACTGGTTGCGCAATCAACATGATGCGGGTGCCTGCAGCGGCTGTACGTTTCTGGTGCTCAACATTGCATCTTGTAACGTGAGTACGCTCCCAACATGGTGTCTTTGAAGCGCTTGAAATGCGGTCTGTTTTGTGCGTGTGAAAGTAATTTCAACGTGATGAACTATATATGTATTACACAGTTGACAAAATGCCCTGCTAATCTTCCCATTCATTAAAGAGCAAAAAAAAGAAAACTGCAGCACTTGAACTACAGCACTACAGCACTTGATAGCTGTGACGAGCACTGGTGGCGCACGATATCGTCACCAAGGCCGACTGTTGTCAGGTGGTACGTTATTAGGGCATGATAGCTTACGCTATATTTGTACGCTGCTGTAATGTATAAACAGCCAAGCTCTGACTCTGTCACTACAGTTCTGTACTTATTCTTTTGCTTTTACACGCTCTCTCATATTCTTACACGCCTGAAAAATGTGCTTCGGGAGTCCTCGCTAATGAGAAGCAGTCACTACACTGTGCAATATCTTTCTTTCAATGGTTACACAAACAAGAACCTCCATTTGTGCTTTACTTCCCGACCTTCTATTTGTACCATTCTAAATATAAGCCCCAATGGCTTCGAGGAAGTTATTCTACAATATGCCCGTGAGGTCTAAACTAAGAAAAAACAATACTTCACTCCTCTTTCTCCCTCCCGTGTTTGTGCGCGTCTCTCTCTCTCTCTCTCTCTCTCTCTCTCTGTGTGTGTGTGTGGTGTGTGTGTGGTGTGTGTGTGTGTGTGTGTGTGTGTGTGTGTGGTGTGTGTGTGTGTGTGTGTGTGTGTGTGTGTGTGTGTGTGTGTGTGTGTGTGTGTGTGCGCGCGTGTGCGTGTGCGTTTTTGAATAGACACGTGAACTCGAAAGAGATCATCCCACTTTTTCCGAGAGTCGTGGGACCCGAAAGAGCGTTAACGTGTCTTTGTAGAGAGTTATACACGCGAATAACTATTCAGCGCTCATTGAGAACGGTAACATGGCCTTTTTTTTCTGTTTTTTTTTCAAGACTGTGGGTCAGCTGACGCAGCAAGAAAGGTTTACAGCACAAACCACCAGTCATAAAAGAATTGTGTGACACATCACGCCCGTGTGCAGGAGCTTTCAGTTCTGCCCCTGTCAGTGCTTTTTGACAATGTGCGTGCGCAATGAGAATCATGGCCGTGTGACGAAAGTGCGATACCTCACCAAGACTACTATCTACCATAAAAACCACGCTCTTTTCTGTGTATATACACCAATCTGTCGCCGACGCGCTTATCTGGACTATGTCTAGCTATCCAGGAAGCTTCGAGAATTTCACGTTGCCCAGATAAGTGTGTCAGTGTGATCGGTGTGTTTTTTTATAAAAAAAGAGCGCGATTTTCTTATGTCGATAGTAGTCTTGGTGGGATAGGGCACTTTCGTCACGTGGCCATGACTCTCATTGCACACGTACATTGCTTCAGAAGGGCAAATTATGTGTTCCTAATAAATCAGTTGATAGTCTGCGTTCGCACTGTATTCTTCTATTCTGGTGTCCCGTCTCTAGCGCAGTTGAAATTTTCGAAATTCCTTACCAGCAAGCCCCCAGCGTACGCTTCTCGAACACCTGTGAAATTCTGTATAGATTCTCGATTTCGCTGGAGAATAACAACTCATGAAAGGCTAGACGGTGCGACGTAAAGTGGGATTTACAACTGGTACTGAACAACAGAAAATGCGCCGTCGAACATACGAGGTGCCTCGCGAAGTGACGCAGTAACAAATATATTCAGTGCTGTTCACTGCGTTGAAGGTAGACTAAGCCTGTGATTAAGGTGAAAACATTGACAAAGCTTTCGCGTTGGTAAGCACCAACTTAACTAAAGGATTGATCGATTAAGGTCATTGTTCACCTTCCATTCCACTCAGAACAGAGTATATTGAAGTATGCGTTATTTCCTGCGATAATCGGAAATTTGCTGGTCTTCTGGCTTACAGCACTCACGTGTGTAGCGAAAGCACAAACCCATCAACAACCTAAATCCTCATCAACAGACCATTAAGGGTGGCACAGCACCTCGATCTTATGTTTAGCTCAATAACAGAGGAAAATCACCAGTCACTTTTCACAAAGACCTCGACGCAGACGACAAAATATTACCGCAGATGAAGCACCTTGTTTTTAGTATATTTTACTCCTGGCGGACTCTTGAGCTCTAATGCCGTGCACTCACTCGTAAAACAGCTCGTGGTGCACAGCAGGGGCGTTCAACTTTGGACACCAAAGGGGTATTCCTGAGGAACATGTAGTGCTGACATTTTTGCAAGCGCCCACCACAAGCCACTGCCGCACCGAAGCGCGACCTTGCTAACGTGCGCAGCTCGCCTAGAACCTCCCATGTGACTCGCCTCGACGCGATTATCAACGCTCCCTCGCGTGTCAACGCCAGATCTCCGAAAGCCATGCCGAAAAAGGACGCGCAGTCCTTGAATTCAGAACGTTGACCTCCTCTCGAGGCTGGCTCTCAGCGCGTGTGGGAGTCGGCGTTTCTTCGCTCAGAATGGTATAAATGGTGCATTATTGTGAGCAATGGACTGTGTGCTCAAGTAAGTTGCAATGTACACCAGTGGCATACCAACTCTATCGCGAGTAGGGGTCGGGAGGCAAACCTACTTCACTCGTCCGCCGGGATATATATATATATATATATATATATATATATATATATATATATATATATATATCCAGCGAGTGTCTTCTGTGAATCCAGTGATGAATGGAAATTGGCTTGAGCGGACAAACGTGCGAAAACTTTTATTGCTCCTACGTTTCGGCCGGGGTCCGGCCGAAACGTAGGAGCCATAAAAGTTTTCACACGTTTGTCCGCTCAAGCCAATTTCTATATATATATATATATATATATATATATATATATATATATATATATATATATATATATATATATATATATATATATATATATATAATATATATATATATATATACTGCCCGGCGGACGAGTAAAGTAGGTACTTAAATGATCCCGGGCTGTCGTACGTTGTCGTATGTTGTGATCGTAAGCTATCGTGGTCGCTTGACGTAACGCTTCATGTAGCATGTTGAGCACGCGCTCGCGCCAAGAAGTCTTCCTCCTCATGTTTTTCAAGCGCCTGGGCGATGATATTAAGTGCGAAACACATCAGGGACTCGAGCGGTCGTATATTCTATCTTCACTCCACGTAGCGCAGGCTTTTTTGTTTAACAACAGTACAAACACAAAAAGTGGGGCAGCAAGCGATATATAGAAAGAGGGAGAAATAAAAAGGGGAAAATAGGAAGGCAAGCAGAATCGAAGACAGAGAAATGAGGGCAGAAAACTGGAAAAAGGAAAAACAAAAAAAAATACGGCATATTCACGGGGTGAATGATGATGAATGGGCGAAGGTCCGGAGGGATTCATCGGTAAACTGTGAATCTTCCGTGTAATTCGCCCAGTCGATCATCATGTAAAGACGTGAGAAACGCTGTGTGTGTATATACACAAATCAACTTTTATTTGTTCTTAGACGATGGATGGCTTGCGATGTCCCTTCATTATGACGGCTTTATGGTCTGTGAAGTGACATCATTCCTATTTTATAAGATCTCGCGTCTTTCATCAACTACAAGTACCGCTTTCTAGTTTATAACATCTTGCATCTTTTCATCATCAGCTACAAGTACCACCATCTAGTAAACACTACAAGAACTAAACGAGAGGTGGCTACTTACAGGAGACGGTACCGCCATCTAGTGAATACTGCAAGAACTAAACTAGAGGTGGCTACATACAGGGGACGGTACCGCCATCTAGTGAACACTGCAAGAACTAAACTAGAGGTGGCTACATACAGGCTACAGGGGACGCACAGCCCACGCCCTAAGGAGCTTGGCCCCTAAAACGAAAGGATGAAAGAGAGATAAAACTGAAGATAAACAAACAAGGCTGCCTATAGCCAGCTCAACGCTATGCTAAGCTTAGTTCAACAAACAATACGTGAGTGCTCTTTTTATGCGAGGTGCATGACCGATGAAGCCACCACTCTTCGACACCTTGTGTGGAGCCGGTCAGTGTCGTATCATAAACCCGGACCCCGAAGGAAACACTCTTCTATGAGTGCGGGCATAGGCGCGCACAGCGCCTTCTATTGCAGTAGGGTTGCGATGAAGGTCACCGTAGTACATAATCTCGGGGGTTCCAACCAGCCTAAGGACGAAGCACGAGGAGAGAAGCGGCAGGCATAAACTGTGGACTAACAGCCGTTCTTCGTTGAAGACAACTATCTTCTGGAAATACAAGGTGGGCATGCGCTGCTATGGAACGATTCGGCTGCTCTTCGGCCTAAATGCTATCACCTGCCTAAATGCTAGCTCTGCCACCACCACTATGCAATGAAAAGACGAGGATGAGAACCGGACCCAAACGTCCAGCTACAACGAACGTTTTGAAGCACCTGCAAACCAGCGCCGGTGGCCGATGCACCACCCTTCGTTTTCCTTACTTGCCACGCAAATTAAGAGCCTAAATACCTAAATGTTGTTCGGCGCCTGTTCCCTGCGCCCACTACGTGCGGACTAGCTCATATAGATATGTCAGACGATCAGTATACTGGACTTAGTCTAGTTAACCTTTCTACCTTTCTTATATCCTTTCTCTTTTTCTCTATTCGGTCTCAGCATCCTTCTCAGCAGGATTTTAATTTTTCGATTACGCCGAGCTCAGAACATTTAACTTAGCTGAGCACTCCTCGTCAGCATGAAGGTGGCACCAGTGGTGTGTGAAAAAGCAGTAAGCCCAAAACACAGCAACAACATGGTTCGTTACAGAATGATTCAGTTTATCAGCTATTTTTTACTTAAGGAATCTTGTCTGTGAGCAAGCCGTCATATTTATGTTCAGTCTGTGCCGGCGTATCTCGATAGCCGTACGAGCTGAGATTTCGGTAGAAGCCCTCTTCACTCTCCAACTCTCTCTCCAACGGGTCGTAGTCGTAACTTTCGTTGGTCCCTCCACTTTCCTCCGGAATGACGTCCTCCGGTACAAGCTGGTGCAGTTCCTTTAGGTCGTAGCCAAATAGTCGAGTCTGAAACAGTAACATTTCTCTACGTCAATTGTGATAGACAGGAACGCCACGTGGTGGCTTACTATTCGTGAAATGACAGCTTACAGGACAAGTTTCAAGCGCGAGAACAAGAGGAAATTTAGTTACGCACAAGACAAGGCTGGTCCTGCCCTGTTTTTGGAGTACCGTGTACATCGCACAGTGCGCTGTCTTCTAATATTCCGCAAGAATATAGATCGAGATCCTAGCAGGAATCGAACAAAATCATTTGGTGTGGCATTCAAGTATTCTACAGCAGAGCCACTCCGGGCCCTGAAAGTGCTTTCAAAAAAAAAAGGTGGGGGGGGGGGGGGGGGGGCTATGTGGCAGTCGCCTCGGTGCAATGATTATTGTGGTTGCAGTGCTGTGGTTGCAGTGCTGGAAATCTAATTTTATAAGAACGTAATAAACATTACGTAAGCACTCGTATATGACTAGCAAGCACTATACAAGTGTTATTTGACACTGAGGAAACAATAATAGTAATAATAATAATAATAATAATAATAATAATAATAATAATAATAATAATAATAATAATATCATCTAGGGTGTCACTTCCCAAAACTACAATATGATTATGAGAGACGCCGTAATGAAGGGCTCCGAAAATTTCGACCATCTGGTGTTCTTTAACGTGCACTGACGTCGTCGAACGCTACGCGAACCTCTGCCCATTCTCCTCCATCTAAAATGCAACCACCTGGGGAGGACACCGTACCCACAACCTTCGGGTGAGAAGCCAAGTACTGTAACCGCCGTTCCACTGAGGCGCACAACACCAAAGGAATGCAGTAAATAATGTTGCGAATGCTGTTCACATCGTTGCACCAAAAAGGCGACAGAGTGGCCAGTGCCGCTTGCAATAAGTGTATTTGAGCTAGATGTGAAGCATCTTATGAGCGAGCTTCATCCAGTGGCGTCTGCGTTCCACTGCGCATGCGCGCCTCCTCCCCTATCTCTCCTCTCCTACACTCCCTATCTCTCCCCTTGCAACTACGACGCAGGCAGCGTCTGCCAGCTATACGCTCGCTCCCCCCCCCTTTCCTCTAGATATCCCTTCCCGCGGTGGTTACACCTCTATTGCGCATCTCCTTCTACTCTTCCTTCTCTCCTACGCCCCCTCTCTTGTTTACAGTTGCGTAGCGATGCCAACAGCAACATCAACATTAGCAACACTAAAAACGGTAAGCGGATATGAAGCGCTGGCGCTCGCGAGCATTGTAGCCTTGGAAACTGCCACATAAATCGATTTCAGTGGATGGTGACTAACTGCAATTGACGTTAACCCGACTTGACGCCTGTATCATAGGAGTACATATGTAATGTTTATGAAGTTGGTTAGCCAGCACTGCAACCACAATGATTCTCACAATGTTTGGGATCTGCCGAACGTTTTGATATTTTCATCGAGTCTCAGCGCGTAAGATTTATTTGATAGATACGTGGGGTTTAACGTCCCAAAACCACCATATGACTATGAGAGACGCCGTAGTTGAGGCTCCGAAAATTTCGACCTCCTGGGGCTCTTGAACGTGCACCCAAATCTGAGCACGCAGGTCTACAGTATTTTCGTTTCCATTAAAAAGCAGCCGCCGCCCCCGGGCAAAAGATAAATGTTGAAGTTTCTAGTAAGTGGTATATTGCCAAGCGTTTCGGTTGAGCTAAGTTTAGTTTTTATTCATTCAAAATACAAAGTTCACAGTTAAAATATGCAGAAGAGGGTCCCGAAGTCGGGCGACTGCAGTGGGGCCCTCGGTTAATAATAACAATAAAAGGTTTCATTGTAACAGCATGTAATATTACACAACGTAAGTTGAAGTGAACAGTTGAAGTACAAAAAACTGCAATAAATAAGTAAAAAACAAAAAACATGGTCAAAGCAATACAAATACATAATAAACAGTTATACAAGTGGATTAAGCAAACCAAAGAAGAAAACCCAGCCTAAGATTTCAAACTACTTACACTTTACATTATGAAATAGTATTGTTCTCAACCTAGTTATACAAAGTAAAACTTTTAAGTTCCTATTTCAATGCACGTGATGATGATAGTAATTTTACTGAGTGTGGTAAATAATTCTAAAATTTATTCACCGCGAAGGAAGAAGTCATTTTGCCGTAGTTGGTGCTACATTTAGCTAAAAGGAAGTTACGATTGTGGGCGAACCTAGTGCTGTTGGTGTTAGTCAGTTATCTAGCATCGATTAGATCAAAGGCAAGCTGTCTGTTCAGCTCTTTAAATAACATTATGATTAGGTGAAAACGAAACAAGCCAGACACAGTAAGGACGCGGTTAGCCCGAAGGAGTGGGGTAGCATTGGATTAATATAAACTGCTGGTAATAATGTGAATGGCCTGATTTTGAATGTGCTGCACGGATGAAAGATGAGTGTTAAAAGTGTTACCCCATGAAGTAATGCCATAGGTGATGTGACTATGTATGAAGGCAAAGTATAAAAAGAATAAGGCTTCAAGGGAAAAAATGAACGAGATTTAATGAGTGATCTTATTTCAAATGCTGTTTTTTTTAACATAAAGTATATATTTATTTTACCATCAAGTAAGGGTCTAATTTTTTGCCCAGAAAACACACACAAGCAGCTACAGGAATAAAGTGATGGTCAATAGATACCTGTGGGTATAAAAGGAAGCATTTTTTGGGAGATTTTAAAAATCATGAACTGAGTTTTAAGAGAGTTTAAAATTAGGTTGTTCATATGACACCATTTAACAACATTGGTCAGTTCGTTGTTCAGCTTATTGATTGAAGTAGTAATTGATTTATGTGACATGGAAATGATTTATATGAGATAGAAAATTACATTTAATATTTACCGAGACTCTGTTTCAGCCGTCAGAATTAATGTTCAAGCAATGCCCCCTGAAGCTGACTTTCATTGATTTTATTTATTTTTTGTTTATTTATTCATTTTTGTGCAGTTGAAAAAAGTGAGCACTATAAGTGACGTGACAGAGAAGAAAAGCAGGAAAAAAAACATCCTCATAAATCTTACCCGCTTCAGAAGTTTCGCCTTGAGGAAGGTTTTAATAATCGCAAATAAAACGTTGAATATTGGAGGGTGGTTGATGATGTAGATTCCTTTCAGACGCATGGGTATACATTCCTGGAAAATGTTACCGGTTTCATGAGTGAAGTTACCGGCTTCATACGTGCCTCAACCAATGCAATAACGCGACACTATTTTGGCTTTTCAAACACGACCGTAATGCTATTCTTTCGATTTACGATCACCCCTGCGCCTCATACCGTTTACCAAACATGCACATATTGAAAATATGCAGTGCCAGCAAATTTGATAATAAAGCAAATATTTCTTTTCACTTTACAATACATTACTAAACTTAAACGAGACTGCGAAATGTGTATCAGCCCACCGAGACATGGTTCTTTGTCTACTTTTTTTTTCCAAGTCAACAGCTGATAGCATAGTCCTTTACGATTCCACACACACACTGCGAAGCGTGCGGGAAAAGCGACAATTGCGTGGCTACGCTCGACTGTTGGCGCTGTTAACTGCGACCGATATTTGCTAGCACCGCAGTCTCAGGAGGAAGATGACGAGACTCATGAAGAGACTGAAGGGAAACTTTAGGTAGGTTTAATTGCATCATTTATGGGGCAAGTGTTTCATTACATGACGATCGTCTCGTTACTTAAGACGAAGATATCGCTACGTGATGATGGTCTCGTGTCGAATGAGCCAGTGGGGGCTAATAATGGTCTTTTTTTGCCAAGGTTGGCATTGTAGAGTGTGTGGCAGTGCGCCCTTGTTTTGGGATACGGTAGTTAAAGCTATATCTCCAGGGACAAGGTAGCGCGGGAAATGAAAGAGGCGTATCTCCTCAACAAAGCTGGTGATTCACGTGTCGCGGAACCCTCGGTTATGTTACTTGCCGGTGAGGTAGCTTTTCTGGGAGCGCATCATTAATGCATTTTGTCTGCACATCTACTCATTTTCTTTCACCACACGTGTTCTCGTAACCGCATATATGTGTCTGTTTTCTCCAACAAAGTTTCAGTCATCAGTGTGCGCTGTGTCCAGGTGTCTTCGTTTTGTATTTCAATTTTTAGCGCAACTGCAGTTAAAATGAATTACCAACTCGCCCAACAGTCCGTGCTTCTTAAGATTGGTAGATAGGGGAATGGAACCAAATTGCGTTTTCCTATCACAGAACACACACCACTTCCGGGTGTGCCGCCCACAACCGCCTTGGTCAATGTCCTCACAGGAACTCCGGAAGTATATATGAAGTGAAGGGGGGGGGGATGTTTCTGGGCATATATATATATATATGAGATCTAACAGACAATAATACCAAGGAATGTATAGAAGAAGTTATTAGAACCAATAAAATGTGAACATTACATGGTTCTAATAACTTCCCCTATACATTCCTGGCATTATTGTCCGTTAGATCTCTTAATGTTGTGTCAAAACACGGAAAAACGAGCCCTTAGGTGCACACTTCTTTTCCTTATATATATATATATAATATATATATATATATATACTTCCGGAGTAATATATATATATATATATATATATATAATACTATATATATATATATACTCCGGAAGTATATATATATATATATATATATATATACACCGCCTATATATTTATATATATATAATATATATATTTATATATATAAATATATATATATATATATATAATATATATATATATATATATATATAATATATATATATCTATTATATATCATATATAATAATATATATATATATATATATATATATATATTTATTTATTTATTTATTTATTTATTTATTTATTTTTATATGGGGGTACATGTGCAGTGCCATATTCTCCTTCTTTCTCTTTTTTAATTCTTATTCCCCTCTTTTCACGTGTAGAGTTTCAAACTTCACTTAGTCTTGTTAATCTCTTTATCTTTCTTGTATTCTTTCTTTCTCTCTCTTGTGCTAATATGAAAAACTTTTGTTTGTCTGCCTGTCATATATAGAGGTCACGCAAGTCATCATTTGAAATTATTGGCGGTTATGTAAACATTTACTGAGCCCCATTTGCGATTTTCGATGTCTGAACATGATTTTTCCTACCTATTTCTGGCGCCTAAAACACGCGTTCTGAGTGCCTCAAAATTCGGCCTCTAATGACATTGGTTGAATCAAGCAGCAGTGAACAAAATTAAAACTCTTTCCTATGCTCTTATATATATGCACTTTCTTTTCATTACAGTAAGCGTTTATTATCTGAAGATTGTCGTTGCTAGTTACCACTGAGTATTCACATGACGTGTTTCCAATTAGTTTGTCCAGTTGATGCAAATGCCATTTGTAAATGTTCATTGCATACTATCAGATCTAAACGAAGCTGTCTTGGCTAAATAGTGTATCCGTGTACAGGCTTCCTAAAAACGGGATACTTATATGGGAGACCTCCATCACATATTCAGCTTATAACCTGTTATCTCGACATAAAACGGTGAATTAGACTTTTGTTATGCATGAAACCAAGGATGATGCACTCACCTGCACAAGATTGATGAGGGTTCTTATCACAGACGGTGTATAGTGAGCGAGATGGTACATGTTGAGGCCTTTAAAGTCAAATATGGTTATTATGCCCCTAACTTGAATGTCTTCCAGTTGAAGAAAATGCTCGAGAAGTAACAAGTTCACTCTGAAGACATCAGTGATGCTGCAAATCTCGCTATTCCAGGACCCTGGTAGTCATGGCCGAAAAAAAAAAAAGTGCATATGAATCCTCTCACAGGACCGATACCCTACTCGGTCTGGAGACTTCTAAAATGTGGTGCATCAGATCGTTTCGTTTGAATTCTTGCCTTTAGAAAAGTCTCAACAAGTGATTAGAGAGCGACCTGAAATAGCATCGAGTCGTCAAAATAAAATGACTGCAGTTGTCATTTTATTACGTGAAAATGTATGCTGATAAACTCGTATATACATGACAGTGAAAAAGCAAGAAGAAATGCAGCTGGCAGCTCCCAGAGATAAAAATGGAAACCATCCAAAGCTTTTCATGACACAGGGAGTTGAAATGAAAGCAGAATGTTAAAATAATGAAAACGATGACGAACTAATTAACTGAAATACAGCAATCGTACACAAGAAAAATGCAAAAAGAGTTATCTACAATCGGGAAGGAAACCAAAAAACAAACGACAAAAAAGAGACATCTTTTCCATCTTTGCCTACTGATGCCTTTCACTAAGGATGAGTGAGCACCATCTTTCTATGAGATTGGTTTTTTCACAGCTTAAACTGGGATGGTGGCCTTTTTTAGATGCACTTGCATTTCCCTCGGTGAAAAGAAATGGAAGTCTCAGCTTTAGTAAGCACGAAGGAAAACTATTATAACGTACTAGATAACTACCCAAAGTCAGGTTCATAGCTTCGTCGGGAGCGTATAAAATTTCAGTAAATATCGCTATCGAGAAATATCATGTGGCACGTACGACACATATCCAATAATCTCGTATGATCATACGAGAACACATATGATTCATGTGTGTTCATACGAGATGACTGGATACGCGTCATATGCGTCATATAAAAATTTTCAACAGAGATTCGCTTACGGCTTAATCGCAAGGCTACTAACATTGCCTTTAACCCCGCACCATATAAGGTTTTCTTTTTTTTTTAAAAAACCTCATTCAAAGTTTTGAGTGTCATGAAACTTCGATTATTTTGTGCACTTGTTTTTTTCAAACATGTGATTCAAAAGCCGAAACAATACACTAAAGTGCAAGGGATAGCAACTTCACTTGACTTACCGACCTTCATCAGCGCAACCGCCCGTCCCATTGGATCTCTGTGGCGCGAGACCGTAGTGAGGCGATTCTTGCGGCACATTGCGTCGAAAGGTATTGTACTTGGAGCCAGATCTTTAAACATTTCCGGGTGCTCCGTTCGAACCTTGAAGTACTTCTTGATGTTCTTGAAAGCGGCCCTCGTGTCGTACTTGCGGGCTCGCAGAAACTTGACTAGAAAGGCGTCGTCCGTGGGGCAGTGTAACGATGGTTCCTCTGGTTGGGATTAGGCATGCGAAGAAAACAAAAGGTCACAAAACGGCCGTCACTAAGAACCTCACAATGATCCGTCTTTCTACACCACATTCACAAAAGCTCCTTGACTTGAACTTGACTTGCCACAGCCTCAAGGTAGCGCACTTGAAACGCGTTTGTGCCCCCTCGGCACCACTTAGCACCGCCTAAAGACAACGTGTTAGAAATGGGTTTGTGCTGCGTTGAAAGCGGTAGAAAGTCAAATCAGGAAGCGTATCTGAATACCACGGTTAAGCTAGTTGGCTTAGTATTCTATGTTATATTCAACCCCGTTTTTTTTTACGCCACGTGTTCTAATGGTTGACGCCAAACCAGGTTTTTGTTTCGGCTGATGTATACATCACACTTACACAATAATGTTCTTGATTGATTTGTGGGGTTTAACGTCCCAAAACCACCATATGATTATGAGAGACGCCGTAGTGGAGGGCTCCGGAAATTTTGACCACCTGGGGTTCTTAACGTGCACCCCAAATCTGCGCACACGGGCCTACGGCATTCCGCCTCCATCGGAAATGCAGCCGCCGCAGCCGGGATTTGAACCCGCGACCTGCGGGTCAGCAGCCGAGTACCATAGCCACTAGACCACCACGGCGGGGCCCAATAATGTTCTTAAGAAAAAAAAAGAACACAGAGAGAGACATAATATTGACAGAGTATTTACAAAGCCATGATCAGAAGAAATAAAAATGGACATTGTCGCACCCAGAACACATACGCTGTCTTCTTCGTGACGGCCACATGGACCTCTTCACCATATCCTATCGTAATAATATAATTTTAGACCATTATTTTCGTCAATGTTGTGTCGTGTAACGTATCAAAAACAAAATACTGCCAAAGGTCGTGCATTTTTTTTGTGTGTAAAGCATAGTGTTTTGTTACTTGACCTGAATGTAACGTTTCACATTTGTTCACTTGGCGTGCAGTAAATATAACAGACCAATTTATATGCCTGAATAGACCTAATTTCACATAATTCTCGCAACAATCTAGCGATCATATGACCAAACAGGTCTGCAATTCCTTCGGTCATTCGCTTATATACAATACGACGTGGCTTCTTATTGGAAACAAAAATGTGAGCCTGGCGACTTATTTCTCCCCAAAAAAAGTCAGAAAATTGTGTCACACCACCCAGTGCTATTCGTTTGAAAAACATATAGCTTTGGCACACATGAAGGGTCCTTGCTTTGATCGCTCAGAAAAGCTGTGCCTTTCCGTTCCTGCCTATATGACCAGTGACATAAATTCAACTCCAGGACCGGAATAAAAAACGGAACGAAACACGTTTGCTGAATGTGTGTGCTCATCCATACGTTTCGGCATGCTGAACAGCCCCATCATACTTATTCCGATATGCACTTCAACTATGGTGCTTTTCATTATCGGTTGATTGATTGATTGATTGATTGATTGATTGATTGATTGATTGATTGATTGATTGATTGATTCATTGATTGATTGATTGATATGTGGTGTTTAGCGTCTCAAAGCCACCATATGATTATGAGAGACACCGTAGTAGAGGGCTCCGGAAATTTCGACCACCTGGGGTTCTTTAACGTGCGCTCAAATCTGGGGACACGGGCCTACAGAATTTTCGCCTCAATCTAACACGCAGCCGCCGCAGCCGGGATTAGATCCCGCGACTTGGGGGTCAGCACTCAGTATAAATTGTGTATAGTTTATATGATACACAACCATTGACACAAGACAATTGAACGAAAATTCTATCAGGCATGTGGTGCGCAGATGAACTTTGCTCGAAGGATTTCGCCAAGAGTTTTTCCGAAAGATTCAGTTACTACTTAGTACTCCTGCACACTTTCATAAAACATTCTCACATCAAATGTCTATATACGTGCTTCGGTCGCCTAACTAGGTCTGAATTCAAAGTGGCATACTTTTTTGCTTGGGGTTTGCAATGGAATAAGTATAATTTTGCCTGATTTTCTCACTGTATATTTTAATATAGACACGCGCAATGAGTTTCAGAAAACATGCCTTCACCTAACGATGGGAAATTCTTCCTTCTATGACCGAACACTTTTTTTCATAGGATCACTTCGCAATCTGACAATGCCAGTGGCAGTCAGAAGAACAAAGTTTAGAAATTATTTACTACCTATATATTGTTCTTATAATGGTGGGACCACGATACTTAAAGGTCCATTTCTGCCGTGGTTTTTAAATAAATGTATACAACGTTATGCGTTTTGGTGTTACAGTTAAGATTAAAAAACAGCGGCTTAGAATATTCTCAGTTGATTGGTTACCATTTCCGCTCACCTGAAATGATCAGCTGACGCAGTTCGTTGAGAGCCGTCTGTTTTGTCGCCGGCGTTTCCCCTAACTCTCTGCGTGCAACATCCTCAATGGATTCGAGCGAGGCTGCAGGTGCCATGGTTGCCTCGCCCATGTCGCTGGCCGCCGCGCGATGAAGCACCTGCGAAACGCTGTGTGTGTACAGTCAAGATCGCTGAAGAATAACAACTCATAAATGATGCAACACGGTGCGAAGCACCACACTGTTTACTACCACTAGCCCGCTTTCCGCGACAGCACGACCCCACGGCAACTACCCCACGACAGCATGTAACGAGCCCACTGCAAGTTTGTACATCAGCATAGATGGTGTCGTCTCATGGCGAGAGAGTCCGGATGTCCCTGCGAGCATGAATTGGTCACACTTGTTTGTTTCTCTCTCGAAGTTATCATTCTCCCGAGATGATATACCCACAGGGAAAAACGAGGGCTAGCGTTAAAGCAAGTATAGGCGGTGCGCGCTGCATGAACACCCGAGTCCTCCCTTCAAAACATTTCACAATTGGCACTTCCATCGATGATATGGAACCAGAGGCAGGATACCAACATTCTCCCCTTTCAAGGCGATTACCGGCATCTTGCGTAATCGCCTTGAAAGAAGAGGAGGCTGCAATCTGGCCGCTGGTTTCATATCAGCAATGGCTGCTTGTTTTGCTCGCCGCGAGATGACGCGAATAGAGGCTGCGTTTGCTCTCGCTCCCACTTGAACGCGCCAGCAAGTGACGTCCTTTTATGAGGCTGTCGCTGCATGCCTCCCTTGTTTTAAGGGCGAAGCTCCTTAGGGTGTGGGTCTGTCGATCTTCCGATGGTGTATGTAGCCACCGGTGGCACATACCCGAAAGAGCGGTCCATAGATTGTCCGCTGGAAGGCGGCACTTCTATATGATGAATACATTATGAAGAGATCTGAGATGGCTGTACTTGGAGTGTTCACTAGATAGACAGACGGACGGATGGATGGACATACAGATTGACGGACGAACTGAGGGACACACAGACAGACAGAGGGGCAGACGCACGGACGGACAGACATAAAAACGGGCGTACGGGCGGACGCATGGAGGGACGCACGGGCGGACGGATGCACCGGCGGTCACACGGATGGACGGACGCAAGCACGGACGCATGGACGGACGGAAGCTAGAACGAATGGGCGGACGAAAGCACGGACGGACTGACGAACGCTTCTCCGTGCCAACCATAATTCACTCCGTGGATATGCTGTGATTTTTTGTGTGCATTGGGTCATGTACAGGGTGTGTGTATTAGTTCATGTTTAGCTCCAGTCCTCAGTGACATTCTATTAGCACGTTATGACAAACGCATAGAAGCGAGGCTTGCTGAGACACATGCCGTTAAGGTGTTCCGCTACGTTGATGATTTTTTTAGTTTATTATAGTGCAGAACAGTGGGACACAAGGCAGCATGCCAACGAGATTGTTGGCATTTTTTCTGAAAACATGACTAATCTACAGCTGACGACGGAGTTACCCGACAATAACAGACAGAATTTTAAAGCTGGAGCTTATGTTTCTGCCAGAACACGTGTGCTAGCAATACGCTCCCCGCTTCAAGAAAGCCCTGTTACCCTTTAGTTCAGCACACTCCAAGCTTGTTAAGCGAAGAATTGCCAAAGCATGCATGATGGCATCATTGTCAAGGTCTTGCCATCACCAGGTTCACAGCAGTTTTGGCAACCAAGTAACCAGACTTAAAGAAAGCAGGCTTTCCTGATCACTTGCTCTCGGGCATATCAGAATCACTTCTGAATTTCATTAAAGCAGGGTAAGAATGCACGCTGCGCATCTCAGGACCAGCCAAAGCTGAAAGTGTCTTCCATTCCTTATGTGCACAAGGTTTCGCACTGCTTAAAAAGAATCGCTGAGAAAACTACGTTAAAGGTTCTCTTCACGGCAAAAAACAAGCTGAGCTCTCTTTGTAAAATTACAGAGTTAACTACGAAGGATCTTTTAGTGTCGGGTGCAATACGAAGCATGCAAAGATGTTTGTAGAATATATTACAGGGGTTAATAATTGTGCATCTGATTTATTTATCATGTGGTCGATACTACATCGGTCAGACGGGGCGCTGTCTGAACGATCGCCTTAGGAAACACGCAAATCTTATGCGCGGATCAGTGGGCAGCCACTTGGCAAGTCACTGAGCGAAGTGTGGGTGCACACCGAAGGTTGATGAATGCCAAGTAATGGCAAGGTATAAGGACAAGAGGACACGGGAAATATATGAAGACTTTTTTGATTCGCAAAGCAGGAAATGAGTGTGTGAGTGCCCCGTCCGTCAATCTGTCGGGTAATGAATACAGGTATCTTTTTCAGTCAAGTTGTCATTTTAAGATTGGAATAAGGTGGTCTGGCACATGCGCCATCATTTGTCCTTTCTTCTGTGTGTGATCTCCTCACCTCTTGACTGCATATATATTCCTGCCATCTGTGCAATAAAATTGGTTGTAAGTGTGCGCTCTGCCCTATCTCTTTGCTATATATTCCCTGCGCACTAAGGAAGTATATTTCTCTCAAAAAATGTTGTTGTTGTTGTTGTTGTTGTTGTTGTTGTTGTTGTTGTTGTTGTTGTTGTTGTTGTTGTTGTTGTTGTTGTTGTTGTTGTTGTTGTTGTTGTTGTTGTTGGTTGGTGGTTGTTGTTTGTTGGTTGTGTTGTTTTGTGTTTGGTGTTGGTGTTGTTGTTGTTGTTGTTGTTGTTAAATTCCACGGAGCGAGCAGAACTATGACGCGCTCCACCGTGTATCCCTTTCATAAAAATTAACGATGTGCTTATATATTTTATACTATTAGTGTCATTTTATGTTCATTTTAAAACACATTGTAATGAACACCATGAAAGAAAAAAAAGAAGCCTTGCTGTGAGGTAGAACACCCGCTTTCCACGCAAACGACCCGGCTTCGATCCCCACTCGGACCTAACCTGGGCATGTGCCTTCTTAAAAGCCGTGTCTGCCTCCGTGGCACAGTGTTTGCGGTGCTTGACTTCCGAAGTCGCGGGTTCGATACCGGTCGTGGTGGTCGCGTTTCGACGAAGGCGAAATGCCCCATCAATGCTCAACTACCTCTGCGAGGACACGTTTCACTTCCGTGTTACACCGATCCCTCAAAAAGAGTTATTTCTTATTTTTTCTATTTTCATCTTTCTCGATTTTCCAGTCACGCGCAAGATGATTATTTTTCGCTCACAACCGCCGACGCCAAAATTTCTGCTAAACGAGCTCGACATCGAGCGAAATGCCCGGTGCCGTCAAGCGTAAAAATATGTGGGCCTCGAACGTGTGCCCGCCCCAAGCGTACTTGTGTTCGTACTTTCCCAATGAGCGATGTTCTCTAGATAGTCGGTTTATCGGCAACCAGCCGTTTCTGCTATAGCAATCAGACTTTTTAACGGGTCTAGATGCTCCTCTCCCGTCGCCACATTTCATTGTGGCCTCGATATGAACGCCCGACCATCTTTGTTGGCTGTAGCAGCTGAAGTATTGCACCGCTGAGCAGGGGGGTGAAGGTCCAATGCAGGGCATGGAGAAGGGAAACATTTACGACGGAGCATAGCACAAAGAAAGAAAGAAAAGAGAAGAAGAAGAAAGAAAAAAAAAGAAAGAAAGGAAGAAAGAAAGAAAGAAAGAAAGAAAAAAGAAAGAAAGAAAGAAGAAAGAAAGAAAAAGAAAGAAAGAAAGAAAGAAAGAAAGAAAGAAAGAAGAAAGAAAGAAAGAAAGAAAGAAATTCACAATAAATATGTCCAAACTTCCATACATTGCTCGCAGACTTGGAAAGCTATTTTTGACATCTCTTTTTGGTGTTTCCCTTTGGTCAAATGCGCTAAGAAACGGGCAACATGTCTCGAGGCTACGGGACTCGGATGTAAGTGCGAGATACAAAATAATACGCTCCCCCCCCCCCCCCACCTCCTTCGGCAGCTTACTTCTTCACAGCTCCTCCTCTATTTTATCAATGCCAGCAGATGCACCCAATCCAGCCGTTCCCCACCCTCTCCTCTAGCCCATTGCCTAGTCTTCGCGAGTGCTTTGGGGTCATGGGGGAGAGCGCCCATCATATGTAGCGCCTAACAACAGAAACTATATCAGGTAATTTTTTGTTCGGTTGCGTGCATATCCGTGGGGAATGCATATATTGCATACCTCGTGTTCATAATGTTAGCTGTCACGCTGGCTCTGTAACAGATGTTGTGTTTTGAGATAGCGTGTCACCGTTCGTGCCGCTATGTGAGCAACCAACGGGAAAGCGTCACTGCGACGCTACTGCATTCGTTGGCTTTAATAGCACTTTGGTGCATCGGCGGCATTGCTTCAAGCCACAAAGAATAAGTCTTATAAATTTATTATATTTAAATGAGAAATACGTCTATCACATCGTAGGGGGAAAGCGCTCAGGTGCATGTTCGATGCGAGCAGCGCCACCTTGATAACGGTATACGCTGGTAGCATATTCAGCGACTCTAGCGCTATACCTTTCATGTCGCACCAAGTCACGGCCACTTCATGAACTAAGGCGGACCGACGACTCCCGTTGAGAAGCACGCGTTTGCACTGGAATTGAAAGGAAAAAAATGGGGCGCTGCTTCTTCCCTTCTGACATTCGCTATAAACCAAGCCTGCTACATATGATCGTTCCCCGAGAAGTAAACTGAATCAGGGCTCGTTTTGAGAGGTTAAGGGCAATTGTAATCATAAGTTTGATGTATTGGGAGCTCCAACACACTGTTAACTATGCCATTAATACGGTATGCACAGCAGTTATCGCGTTAATGCGCTTCAAGTTCACAAGGTTTAGAAACAAAATTGTATTCTCACAGGGCACCTAAAGAAGTAGAGTAGTAAAACAAGTGAGTAAAACTCCACGAAGAGAGAAGAATATTAGCGTAGATACCATACCGACCCTGCATGCTGTCGTGCATATTGTTCCTTTAGAACTTTCACGCTCTAATGTCGTGCACTCACTCGTAGTACTGCTGATGCCGTACAGCGATGAGCTTCTGATGTCAGACGAGTATTCCTGGGGCACGTGCGGCGGCGATGCCTCTTCCAGCGTTCCTATAGGAAGCGCTAGCTCTGACGGAGTACACAGCTTGTGTA